TGCGCCCGACTCCGCTGCGCCCGCCGCTGCGCTTCCCACAACCCGCCCGGGACTGGCAGCCGCCCGGGACCTCGCCACCTCGCCGCTCCGGCCCCCGCCGGACACCAGACGCCCTCGGGGCGAGCGCCGCGCGGGTCTCCCGGGACTTCTGGGCTTCCAGCCCGCGGCGGGGTGCAGTTCCCAGTGTGCGCCCGGCGCGGTGGCCTCGGCTGCCGGGGCCGCGAGGAGCGTCCGGGTCTCCGCACAGCAGCGCCCGCGATGCCGGGCAGCTCCAGCCGGAGAGCGGGCGCCCGGGGCGCGCCCGCCGAGTGATCGGAGCCCCGGCTGCCACCGAAGACCCTTGGCCCGAGGGCTCGGCGGCCCGCGACGCGGCTGGACCGGCCAGAGAATGCGCCCCAGGACGCCGGGCAGCAGCCGCGCGGGCTCCGCTGGCCAGCGCTGATGGGGGTGCGCCCGAGCCAGGCCAAGGGATGCGGAGGGGCGGCCCGCCCGCCACCCAGATCGTCGCTGCGCCCTTGCCCGCACCCCGCATCACCCAGGATGGCTGCCCCGAGCCATGGGCCGCGGCCGAGCTAGCGCGGAGCACCAGACCCTCGCCCGGCCAGCCCCGGAGCCGGCCCCCGCGTCCCGCCAGAGCCGGTCCCTGACGACGACGGGCAGCGTTGCCCGGCTCCCTTCCCTTCACGGCCTGGCCCCGCACTCCGCCCCCTGCCCGCGCCTGTGTGTCAGCACTTGGCCGGAGACTTCTTGAACTTGCCTGGAGAGTGACTTGTGCTCCCCACTTCGCGCCGCTGCCCTCGCCCGGCGGAGTCATCCTTGCCGCCTCCCAGCCCCGCCGCCCCTCTGCTCCTGTACTGGGTCTAACCAGAGCCGCCGTTCCCTACCCAGAGAAGGACCGAGCGACCGGCACCCGGAGAGGAGGCGGCGGCGAAGAAAGCCACCGCCGCGCCCTGGTCCAAATCCCTCAGACCGAGCTTTTCCCATGTGGAGACTCTCTCGATGGACGTGTCCCCGAGTGCTTCTTAGACGGACTGCGGTCTCTTAAAGGTAGAGGAGGGATCCGGGGCTCAGGGGTGGCGGGGTTCCCGTCGCGCGGCGCTCAGTGCCTCGGGGGCCGAGTCTAGGGAACATAAACAGACCCTCTCCCCGTGCACGTGTAGCAGAGCCACGGGGCGGGGGTCCCACATCCCACCCCCACGACCTTCTGCTTTGCTTTACCGGCCAGCCTTCCTCCGCCACCCTCCTCCTCCCCAGATTTTCTGTATATTTATTAGTATTTTTAACAACTTGGATGATTTTACCCAAGAAAGTTATAGAAATCCCTTCCACAGTGTGTCCGGTGAATTTCACCCGTTAGTTGCCAACCAGTATTCCCTGCCGGTGGAGACTCCTTAAGTTTCTCCTGAGACCTGGTGTCTCTCCCCTACAGCTTTGGCTCATTTAGAAAAGTGCTAGAAGTTGGGGTTCTCCGTGCTTGTTTTCAGACTGTGAGGATGCAGTCCACCAATGCCAGTTTGTAAAGTGTCACAGCTTACACATGCATTCAGAGACTAGCCATCTGCATCACTGCAGGAGGATGCGTGCGATTCTTGACTGCACCACTGGTGAGGGGCTGGGAATGTGGATGAAGTGATGGAGTGGCCTGTGGGTCGCCCCGAGGCTAGGGGCATGCGCCACAAGCTGCAAGCGGCCTCATAAGTTGTAGCCCTGAGTTTAGAGTTCACAGAATCTAGAAGTTAAAGAGTGTGCGTATCAGGAAGTTCTACACAGTGCCTGTAAGGAAGTCACATGTACCATTTGCCTGTTTATATGCAAGTTCGAGTTGCACACTGTATATGTTTGTAAGGGATACGGTATGCCAGACCAAGTCGATGTTTCCCAGATTCCTGGCACCAGCTGTCGCAGCTGGTATCGCAAGGGGAAAAGAAAGGTGACAGCCATTGGTTCTAGGGAGTCAAGACCAATCCCCAAAAGGAACGTCCCATCCAGGCAGAGAATAGGATGAGGAGAGAAAAGCGCTCAGGGGCTTGGGGTTCCCCATCCTCCTAAACACTCGCGCTTCTGTCCCTCGCGTGGCATAACCGGGCGACAGCCTGGGGAAGGCCAGCGGCCCTACGGGAGCCCGGGCCGCGGGGGCGGGCGGAGGACTGGGCGGGGAACGCGGGTGACTCACGTCGGCCCTGTCCGCAGGTCGACCATGGTGGCCGGGACCCGCTGTCTTCTAGTGTTGCTGCTTCCCCAGGTCCTCCTGGGCGGCGCGGCCGGCCTCATTCCGGAGCTGGGCCGCAAGAAGTTCGCGGCGGCGTCCGGCCGCCCCTCCGCCCGGCCCTCGGACGACGTCCTGAGCGAGTTCGAGTTGCGGCTGCTGGGCATGTTCGGCCTGAAGCAGAGACCCACCCCCAGCAGGGACGCCGTGGTGCCCCCGTACATGCTGGACCTGTACCGCAGGCACTCGGGCCAGCCGGGCGCGCCCGCCCCGGACCAGCGACTGGAGAGGGCGGCCAGCCGCGCCAACACCGTGCGCAGCTTCCATCACGAAGGTGAGCGGGCGGCGGGGCGGGGACTGCGCGGGTAGCCGCGGGGCTCCGCACGCTCGGCGGACGGCCCCTGCGCTCCGGGTTCCGTCCTCTCCGTGGCGGGGAGCCAGGGATTCCCCTCTGCTGAGTCCTCACCCTTTCCTGGCTGGCTGCCAGAACAACTCCTCCTCCAAGAGCTGGAGGGAAATCAAGTGATGGGGAAGAAGAGGGTAAAAGGCACGTCCCTAGTCAGCTAAATGAGCAAGAATTCCCCCACCCGGGGTCCGGGGAGAATGCAGAGGATTGGGGTTCCCTTAAATCTGTACAGAAGCCCTTGCTCCATAAATCTGCGTTTCTGTTCACGCTGGAATTTGAGGTTAGACAGAGTCAAGGGCAGCCTGTTTCAGAGATAGAAATGATAAATAAAAGCCCAGGGCCCCACATTGTCCTAATTTACTGCTGATCTGGGCCTCCTTTGGAAGATTTTGAATATCTAATCCCCGTGGGAGATCAATTCCACGATCAATCTTATTGTTTCCACAATGACTTTCTTGTCCCGAGCTTGACTCTTAGATAGGCTGTATGTAGAGACAAGGAGAGCTTTCAGATTAAAGCTTTTGAGCCCGCCACTTTTCTGTGCAAAGCAATGGGGATATTTTTCTTTAATGTTATGGCTGTGGTTTCTTAAGGTAGGATGTTTTTGTTTTGTTGGAAAGACATTTAGTGAATTTGAAATGTCCTAGAGGCCTACTGAGGCCTTGTACCTGAGTTCTTAGAGCAATTAGTCAAAAAACATGCTCCACCCCAATTCTTTATGTCATTTTAAATGTCCTTTTGACTTAATTCATTCCAAATAGAATATCAGTTCTTTCAAGTTCAAGAAGAGTGCAAAGTTGTCTATTACAGAGTAGCCATGCAGCCATTTGTAGAACAGTAGGAAGCTGGAAGTGACATTTTGTTTTTTGTTTTTTTTTTCTCCTTTACCTTCCTGACCTGGTAAATTTCAACTGAAAATCTATGCCCAGAAATGGTGTAGACCAGAGTGTTCCCCTATGTAAAGGATGGCTTAGACTTTGAGAAGCCTGATTGATAATGGAAAGTCCCAAAAGACAAGAGAAGGATCCTCATCAAGGCAGATGCTCACTGTAGAAGGCACTCTGAAGCAATCATTTTCAAACAAGTTTCCAAAGTGCACCCTGATAACAAAACTTAGAGCCTTGAAAGGCAGCGGACCTCACTGTGCTCTGCAGGATCTGCTCATTGAGAGCAGATAGGCCTTTGCATAGCATTAGCCCAGCCACCTTCACCCCAAAGGTTTTCCAGCAAAGCTCATCTTTCCCAGATGATGCTGATTAGAAATAGTTTTTTCTAGATAGAAAAGTAGCCAGATAGCTGTTTTCTCTACCTCTTTCGGAAATCTATCATGAAAATGATGAATTGATTATTTTATTTTTTTCTAGCATGGAAACCAGTTTTTTTAATGTAAAATCAAGAAGGCACAATTTTGCTTAAACTCTGTTTTAAACAAAAGATCATCTAAGCCAGTTAATACCTAAAGCGTGCAATTGAGTGATGTCTCTGTTCTTCTGGAAGTGGATCGATAAAAACTTAGATCATGCAGCATCTGAGTGTTCTTTTGACTTAGTGTGCTTGAGTTCATAACTCAGACTTTATCTTTGAAAGTGATTTTCGTGTGTAAACAGTGTGGAAGTTACCAGCTTGCTTAAAATCAACTTGCATTAGCTTTGCATTTTAGTACTACTAGATGTCATTTTTACTTCACATTTCAGTAAATCCATTTCTTTCCCATTCTGACAAGTAGGCATCAGTAGGTACACATAACATTTTTAGAAGATTATTCATTGTTAAATAACCTAGAATTTGATTTTTTATAAGCATCCTGTGCCATGCATTGCCATTAAAAAAAAAAAAAAACCTTAATTA